TGTGCACATCAAGATGTTTGATGGTTGTATCCGAACAATCTTCAATGTTCAACATGTACCTGCATTGAAGAAAAGTCTTCTGTCCTTGGGAAAGTTTGACAAGCTTGGAATGAAAATCATAGGGGAGAATCGTCAACTAAAGGTGGTTAAGGGCATTATGGTTGTGGCAAAGGGTGAACTGGTTGGGAATTTATACAGATTGGTGGGTGAGACTTTAGTGGGAAGTTGCTAGTGCAAGTACCAAGTCTGAATCCTCTTCTGTTTGGCACAAACGGTTGGGACATACGAGTGATCGTGGGCTTCAGGTACTATCTAATAAAAAACTTCTTCTTGGTTTCAAGATTGACTCATTGGGTTTCTGTGGAGATTGTGTGTTTGGAAAACAACATAGGCTGCCTTTTTCTTTGTCAACAAACATAGGCCATAAATTCCTTGACTTGATTCATGCTTATACTTGTCAAGTACTTGCTGTTTCTATTGGTGGATGTTCTTACTTTGTGACATTCATTGATGATTTCTCCCGAAAGGTATGGATTTTCATGCTCAAAAGGAAATCTGATGCTTTTTGAAAAATTCAAAAAGTTTAAAGCATTAGTAGAAAATCAAAAAGGCACAAAAATTAAGTGTTTCCAAACTGATAATGGGGGAGAATTTTGTAGCAAGGAGTTTAATGATTTTTGCAGTGAGCATGGTATTAAGAGACATCTTACAGTACCAGAACACCACAGCAGAATGGGGTTGCTGAGAGAATGAATCGAACTCTCATGGAGCGTGCTAGATGCATGATGAGCACTGCAAAATTTGGGGAAGGAATTTCGGGCTGAAGCTGTTAACACTACATGTTATCTAATCAATCGCTCACCCACTGTTTCTCTCAAGATGAAAACTCTGGAGGAGGTTTGGTCTGGTAAACCTGCAAATTATTCTTTCCTTCGAATATTTGGATGTGATGCTTATGTTTGGGTGCCTAAGGAGGAAAGAACCAAAGTTGACAAAAATTCAAAAAAATGTATTTTTCTTGGCTATGAGACAGGTATAAAGGGGTACAGATTGTGGGATCCTACTGTCCGCAAGCTTATTATTAGCTGAGATGTGGTTTTTAATGAAAATGTTTTTCAAGGCACAACTAAAAAAGAAGAAGCAAGGAAGATTGTTATTGAGCAAGAAGCTAGTTTTGATGATGCTGTACAGGAGGAAAATATTCAAAATGATCCTCAATTTGAGTCTGAGCCTGAGTCTAAGCTTTTACATGAAGGAACTTCATCTGGTGATACTGTTTCGCCTCGACCTCGAAGGGCCATTAGACCTCCAACGATGTATGATGACTGTTACATCTTTGAAGCCTCAATCTAATTATGTATGTGCTTATCTTGCTTTGTCAGAAGAACATGAGCCAACTTCTTTCAAAGAGGCTTGTGAGTCTGTCAATTCTGACCAATGGCGAGGTGCAATGGAGGAGGAGATGGAGTTTTTGCAAGAACAAAACTTGGGATCTTGTTCAGCTACCAGAAGGTTGAAAGGCAATTGGAGGTCACTAGATATACAAGTTGAAAAAGGACTCAAAGGGGAATATAGAAAGATACAAAGCCAGACTTGTGATTAAAGGGTATGCTCAAAAACCTGGTATTGATTTTGATGAAGTTTTCTCACCAGTTGTTCGTATGACTACTATTAAAGTTGTTTTAGCTCTTGCTGCTTCTCTTGATCTTGAGTTAGAACAACTAGATGTCAAGACAGCTTTCTTGCATGGTGATTTGAATGAAGAAATTTATATGACACAACATGAAGGCTTTGTTGAAGAAAATAATAGAAGTTTGGTTTGTCGGCTGAATAAATCGCTTTACGGTCTGAAACAGGCGCCTAGATGTTCGTATAACTGGTTTGATTCCTTTATCGTGAGCTTGGGATTTCATAGATGTGAAGTTGATCATTGTGCTTATTTTTGTGATTATAATGATGGATGCTTCTGTATCTTGTTATTGTATGTAGATGACATGATTATTGCAGGAAATAATCCCACTTATGTCTCTACATTAAAAACTCAACTTGCTGGGGAATTCGATATGAAGGACTTGGGAGCCGTGAATCAAATTCTTGGGATGAAGGTATTTAGAGATAAATAGGATAGGAAGATCTAGTTGAATCAAAAGAACTACATAGAAAGGGTTCGACGACGTTTCAATATGCAGAATGCTAAACCAGTGAGTACCCCTTTTCTTGTTCATATTAAGTTGTCTTCAGAATACTCACCCAGCATTGAAGCAGAGAAGGTAGCGATGTCTCGAGTACCGTACTCATCAGCAGTAAGGAGTCTTATGTTTGTTATGGTCGGAACTAGGTCGGACATTGCACAAGTAGTGGGAGCTGTTAGCAAATATATGGCAAATTCTGGTCGTGTTCATTGGGATGCAATGAAGTGGATCCTTAGATATTTAAAGAACACTTCAAGTGTTTCATTGTGTTACAGGTCAATAGAACCTGATTGTGTTGGTTTTGTTGATGTAGACTTTGCCGGAGATAAAGATAAAAGAAGATCAACTTCTGGTAATGTCTTTATCATGGCAGGTGGTGCAGTTAGCTAGGAGTCTAAATTGCAACCGGTTATAGCCTTATCAACAACAAAGGCAGAGTATATCTCTATCTTTCATGCTTGCAAAGAAGATATTTGGTTGGAGAGGTTGCTTGCAGAATTTAAAATGAAGCAGGACACGTTTTCTATGTATTGTGACAGTCAAAGTGCTTTGTTATTGGCTAAGAATCCAACTTTTCACTCTCGCACAAAGCATATCGATGTTTGCTATCATTTTGTTCGATAATTAGTTGAAGATGGGAAGATACTTCTGCACAAGGTTCACACAAGTTCAAATCCAGCAGATATGTTAACAAAACCAGTGGCCCGTGACAAGTTCAATTGGTGCAAGTCTTCAATTGGACTTGAAGAAGTTTGATTCCTTTTCATTTTTCTGTTTGTTTTGTTTCAAGAAACGTGTCTTCAAGCGGGAGATTGTTGAAGACCAAGTCAAATAAGACTGTTAGTGGAGTCATAATAAAGTGGAGCTGCTGGAGCATACCAGATTTTTTATCTGATATGAAGCCAGGTTTTTAGTAGAGAGTTACAACAAACTTCTGTTGTTTTGCTGTTTATAAATAAGGAGAATGATCAGTTGCACTGTGTGTCAAATTCTCATCTTTTCATCATATTTTTTTGTTATAGTTGTTCTGCTTTCAATATTCAACAATAAAAGTCATTTCAGTTTCCAGTCACTGTACTTCTCATTCTACAATTTGCTGTCATTTAATTCCTGTCTTGCTATATGCATAAGCACTATTTTTACACTCGATCTACTTTTAATTTATTATTGAGCTAGCTACAACCAATTGTTGACGTAAACAAAGTCAAGCCACTCCTCAATGTTACTAGTACTTCATTTATTCCTTGGATTCATCAGTTGTATATTATTATATACTATTTATTGTCCACCTTAAATTTATTTTCCTTTGAAAACATGCATGCTATCAGTTGCCTCAAAAATGGCTTACACTTTTAGATTATTTTGAAAGGGGATGAGTGGTTGGCCTTGGCATTATGGAAATTGAAAACGACCAAGGAGCTCACTACTTACAAGATGATGTTCTTAGGCAAGCCAACCAATTTCAATTTTAAATTCAATTACTGCAGGAGCTAATGTTTTCCATTCTGAAGAATTGGGAAGATTTTTGAAACAAGGAGTTGTTGATGTTGAAATGAGGTTTTTCTATAAGCTAGAACTGGAATGTGGATGACCTTTGCTGAATTAAGCAAGCTTTTAATTTGACTAAATCAAGCTGTAGTTTTACAAGTTTTTTATTCAGGAAAGCAGAGCTTACCCTGTAAGTATCTAAATTACCTCTTCAAAATTATATTGTGATGCCTACTTGGTTTGCTATTTTTATTGTTTAGGACAAGGAATCAAAATCGATAAGTTAGGCTATCTCTATGCTTCATTTTACTTGAGCAAAGTTATACAATTTGATGATGATATACTAGTTTATTCCTCTACTATCTGTGATGTTAGTTGCCTTAGAATTAAATTATTATTTCCGTTCCTTCCATCTCTTGATTAATACATATTGGTTGCGTTAAAGACTGTCTAAATTTTTGTAATATATTCTGCAATTAAAAATTTTTTTTTTCCAAAACTTATAGATTTCTATAGCTTTGTGTTATTATTTTACTTTGATTTCATTTCAGCAATTCACTTATCCATCTTTCCTTTCTATGTTACAATTGATACTTTTTGTTTTCTTAAAACTCTAAATGAATTATTTTCTCAAATTTAAGTCTAGCCTTTGATTTTTCTAATTTCCCATCCTTTTTTTCATGTTCCCAGTTGCTTGTGCAGAGCAGAAAGCAAAATCTTGTTAGGCCTATGTAGGACCCCTTTGTTTTGTGACTCCCTTTTTCCCTTTATGTGCTAGAAGTTATGAGCATACTCTAAATTGTAGGGGTACTGCTTGTACCTTGTTTAATATTTCATTTGCTGATAAAAAAAATGTCATGTGCTTGCTCATTTCTATTCTAATTGATTTTTGTTGTCTGGTATCTGTTTTACCAGCTATTTGTATCACCATTTTTCTTAATTTTAATTGCAATGCATGGAGATCAGGTAGATATCAAGAAGTTAGTCTCCCACATGAGTTCCCTAGCTTGCCTCCATTCCCATCTTCTTATTCATCTCACATTTCCCATAATTATAGTGATTGCTTCCTTACTACCGTGCAACGTCCAACTTAGTTCATGATTTAAATCTTATAGCATCTAATTAAACCCTTTACCTTTTTCAAGTCAACTATAGGATTAATTAAAAGGTTGATCTAAGATTCCAAGATTCCAAGTTCAAGCCTCCCTTTTTAGGCAAGATATTTCTTCAACAAGTAGGTCCTGGATGCTTTGACATGAATGTTGCCTTTCATATGGGAGATGATGCTTCCAGGATGATGAGTCAGAAACGAATGATCCAACTCTGTACTGTGTTCCCTCTGTATTCATCCTAAGTCACATCCAAGATTGCAACACAAACACTGCTGCTTTATCTGCTACTTTACCTAGGAATGGGTTGACTTGGAAAGCAACTTCAAGATCTAACAAGTTGATGAAAAATGGTGGTGTTCACAAATCTGTCGTAGTTGCTGGCTTGCAGCTATAATCTTCTACCCTCCAAAGAATGCCCTCTCTGTTAAGGCAGGGTTCACTTTCTTGTCCCTCAGTTGTTCAGAGTGATTTTCTATCATTTCATCAAGATAATGCTAAGCTTTAATTCATTTTTTGCAGGACAAGGATTTTCTTTGAGTTTTTCTAGTAACTTCCCTTGATCAATTCCCTAAATCAAGGACAATTTGAGGATATATATAAAGGTGGATGGAGTAAAGCTTTGAGGCAGCATTATGCACAAATCATTTCGAGGTGCATTGTCACGTTTTAATCCTTTAACATGCGCAAATTTTAAAATTTTAAATCAAGTCGTTAGTTACAGGAGAACTTATTATTAGGCTAATTTATGCCATACTCAACTATGTTAACTAACCATTTTAGTTTCTTATTTCTTCAGGATTCTTGTGTTGCATCTATCCATCCATCTGTTGTTAAGAAAACTCTTCATGAACGCATACATGAACTGCATGGAGCTGGGACTTTGGATGTAACAAGTCAGTGGAGTTTTGAATAACAGCTGGTGGCTGGTTTTGATCAACATTGCAAAAACAATGCAGAGACTGTGAGAGTGAGTTGCAACAGCAACATGAAGGTTAGTAGAGGAGTCATGGTTCTACTCGATGTCAACAGTGATTTGGTCTCCAATTCCTCTTGGTACACAATCAGCACACTTTATGAGATTCCCAATTTGATTGGAGATTTTGACTTCTAGCCTTATTTTGGTGATGATTAATACATTAGTGATCGAACAATTTTATTCTTGATGACTTATTGTTGTGTACAATCTCTAGTGTTTTCTAAACTAGAGGAAACTTTGTAATAATGCTATTTTTATAGTGTGTGTTTTTTACTGGATTAGATTCCGTGGTTTTTTTCCACTAAAAGAATTATCATATTAAAAAATTTAGTGTCTTAATTTTGTGGATGTGATAATTTTTATTTTTGTTAGTTGCTTGATTTATTTTTAAGTTTGATTATTTTTCATTTAATTGCATAGAGAGAAGAATACCAGTTGAATGTGTTATATACGCAAATTGGTTTTGATCCATGAATCCCCAAAAGCTAGAAAAGCTTGCTTTAATCTTTGTGATACCTTTTCAAATTCAAGTTATTAGCTGTGCTGGATGGACTCTTTGGTGGTAGACCATAATTGAACTTGAGTATACCTTCAACCCAAACACGGCTTTAGGATTTGATTCATATACATATTTTTTAATTCAAGTGAATAAAACATATGATTGTTGTTCATAAAAAAAAAAAAGGTAAATGATTTATATCCTGAAGGAGTATTACTTAAAATTAGGAAGAGAATGATCTCTATATTCTATGGCTGTGAATAGTTTTATATATAAGAAATGAAATATTAACATCATCAGTACATTCACTTCAATTGAACACTGAACAATATTCTGGAGCTAGAAAGGTCAGGGATAATATCTGATACCAATCTAGAACAGCCAGGCTGAATGATCTTTTATTTTTTATCCTTATCGCCACGCCTGTTGTACACGCATCCGGGTGAACCCATGTGAACCATCACCCTCTTGAAGTCCACAAGTCAATCATCTAAGCAAATCATTTCAAAAAGTTAGCACAA